GCCACCAACTAGCTTTTTTTAATGTTGAGATGGGGTCTGAAGAACTTTTTGCCCAGACTTGCCTGGAACCACAATTCTCCCAAGTAGATAGGATTACAGGTGTGAGCCACCACACCTGGCCACAAGTAGCTATTTCATATGGCTATAATTTATAAAGACCTAGAACAGTGTTGAAGAAATATAGCCCATGACATTGAAAATAAGTTTCTCTTTTAATTTAAAAACTACACAAGCTGGTGGAGTGGCTCAGTGGTAGAGTGACTGCTTAGAAAGGGTAAGGCCCTGAGTTCAAGCCCCAGTACTACCCCCCCAAAAAAAATTACACAAAAAACACAAACTTAAAGGCTCTAGTTAAACACCTTAATTCTGGGGACAGAAAAATCAGGCCTGAACCTGAAGGGTCAAAATGGAGAAGAAGCAAGTTGGCATTCAGCTGCTCACCACTTCAACCTCACACTCATTCCTTTCCTCCTCTGCTGTCCAAGGACATGCACTGTTGACTTTAAAGATTTTAAAAGATGTACTACCAATGCTACTGTAGCTATCACTGTTATTTTTCTCAATAATCTTTCATGATATCAAAACAGATCAAGACATGGTAAAAATACCAAAATGTGTGTGATAACACAGAATGTTGATGAACGGTTCCTAAAGAAACAATTTTAGTAGAGGATAATAGGATGTAATTCACATGCAGAACTATAATTAAAAGCAAAAGGATTTCTATAAGCAAAATTTGGATGCAAGGGCTGTGATAAATACGCTAAATAAAAGAGATTTGTGAAACTGCCTTACATATGTACAATTTTTAAAAGATCAGAATGTAATTGCTATTTTTAGCTAAATAGTAACTTATAGCTTAAAGCATATTTGCTCATTGATTTAAGTTATTTACTGAAAGCTTCTCTCCTGCTATGCATTGTCCTAGGAGCCAAGATTCAGCTGTGAACACAGACAGTAAGCCCCCACCCCAGGTTAGATTTTATTAGGTGAAGACCCTGGACTCTTCCACTAAACCAACATGTTGAGTAACATTTCTTAACAAACCTTATCTTAAAACTTACCACTGAGCTAACAGTAACTTGGGAATGAAAGAGTTTATTAAAGCTGGTTTTTACTTGTTAAGTGCCTAATAAGCCATGGAATATTTCAACTTTTGCTCATTTAAAAAGTTTTCATTTTGCCAAGGTCAACTTATTGATACTTTTTTTTGTAGTTAGCTTTTTGTTTGTTTTTGCTTCTCATATGAGAAATCCTCCCTATCTAAGATCATAGACAATTTTTAAAAAGAAGAGTTTTTAAAGTTTATTTTTCATATTTAATAATTTTTCCTTCTGGGATTGATCAAGCATGGTGTGAGGTAGTGATTCTATTTCATTTTTTTCTCCCACATGGCTAAATACTTGTCTCTCAAGGATTTGTTAAGTAGTACATTCTTTCCTTCCCACATCTGGAAAGCTACCTATCACATATCACAACCATTACTGTGTGGATTCATTTCTGTACTTTATATCCCACCCTATCAGCCTATGATTTTAACTTTCTGTCAGTAAACTTCACAGCATTTATTACATTTTTCCTGAGTATAAGCATACATGTCTCTCATCTTCTTTGTAAGTTCTTATGACAATACTGACTATGACTCATTCATCTTTTTATTTCTCAAAGCATCTAAATCACTATTTCTAGATCATAAGTCTATCTGTTAAATAAGGGATGAGCTCAGAAACAATATTGATTGTAGCTATAAGGTCATAAATATCCCCTCTTGCAAAATTACTGCCTCAACAGAACTAACTTTATGTGTTTATTAACTACATTTCCATATTTTCTGTACTCTTAATGCTCTGGCATCTGTGTGGGTCCTTGCTAATCAGAGAGCGAATATCCCTTCCAGGTTTAGCTAATTCCTAGAGACAGCAAACACCTCACCAGGGAGCATGCTTTTCATATGTAAATGAACCAATCCAAAGCTCATACTCTGCACATCCACCTTTATCTAGTTCAAGTCAATCCTATCCTGCCCTGAATTACCCCAAGACCAGGTCCCAGGCAATTACACACAACCCTTTGCTCCAGAGCCCACTGAAATTATTCACACTAGCAATCCTAAATCTATTGACCCTGCCTCTCCTTGCTTTTCCTGTGGAAATGACAATAAAAATTGTTGCCCATGTTTTGTTCCCTCTGCCTCTTGACTAACCCTGGAGATTCCCTATGTGGCCCCTCTTTCCAGAGACCTATAAGTATAAACATTTTCCTTCATGTTGTATCTGCATGTGTTAACATATCTAATTAAAACAAATCCCATGTACATTTTAAAACAATGCAGTATAAACAATGCAAAATAAAGTTGGCTATTATTTTCAGCAAACATGAAATGATTTAAATAAGCAAACAAATATAAAAGACTGTTAGCTGGCCAGAGAAGAAAGGAATTTAAGATTTTAAAAACAACTTTACTCTAAGCATTTGATAATCAGTAGGGTAATTCAATGAGAAATAGAACTACATTGCTTTTTGGGTACATGATATTAAACACAGGGCCTACTAGGCAAATACTCTCTATCAATGAGCTATATCTCCAGCCCTACTCAAATTGTTTGATTGCTTTTTTTGTATGTCCTAAAAATCAAGCTAACATGAATTTATTTTGTTCATTTATGAAGAAATTGTTCTCTTAAGAACAGAAAGTTAAATTCAGAACTGTGATAATCCTTAAACCTTATCATATTACAGTTTGTCCTTTTCACAGATGACAAGATGAACTATTGAACTGAGTGTACTGATTTTCCATATTAGTATTTCAAAGAAGAACTAAGTATTTGGAGAAATTAATCACAACATAGAGTGTATCATACAGAATTACCTCACACAAATTAATTAAATTGAGCTATCCAATGAATACTCTGAAATGGGATCAAACTTAATCTTTCCCAAAGTCAGACAAAAGAAGTAATCATCCAATTTTCTTTCCTTTCAATAAAAATAATTAAACCTGTTCATGTTTAACTATATCACACTTGCTGAAGATTCAATGTTGGATCTATAGTACCATGATGATGATAATCTGTATATATTAAACATAAACAAGTTATTTATCTCATAAATGTAGTAATAATTCTCAAGTACTTTAAAAAAGACTTTCCAGTTGTAATGTTAACCACAACATAGTGGAAAAGAGTAGACACAGCATTGCATTTGGAGTCAAAACACTGGAAATTAGTTCTAACTCTGGAATCTATGCTCTAGTGATAACATGATTTCTCTGGGTCGCAGTTTTCCCATCTCTAAAACAAAAATGATGAGACTTGTCCTGTTTACCAAACAATATCAAAGCTCCTTGTGAATTATTAAATCCCATATAAGTTTATAGTATTATTAGTCAGAAACATTACCTATTCTATAAAGAATTTTATCCAATGCCATTTTACACATTTAATATTATCCCATCAAAAATTTCCAAACCAGAGACTTTAATCATTGTGAAAACTAAAGTTTGCTTGGTTGAACAAATTTACTTAAGATAAAATTTTAGGCTTTATTTATAATGAGTGATTTTTACCTTTGAGGGAGTAAACCCAGTGTCTTGCACTTTGTCCTCTACTATTTGAACTATGTCCCTAGCCCTTTTGTTCTTTGAGGGTCTCCCTGCATTTGCCTGGGTTGGCTTCAAACTTGAGATCCTCCCACCTCTGACTCAAATAACTAGAATTACAGGCAAGCACCATCATGCCCAGCTGATGTAGTATTTTAAAAACACTTTTTACTTACTGTGCTTTTCAATTTATTATTGCTTTTGTTTTTATATACAAGTTATCTAAGTATGAATGTGACAGAGCAGGAGGGTCTTGGGGCTAGACAAAACTTCACACATTGAATTCTTCAAAGTACTCAGCAATGTTAATACTTATCAAAGCAAAGCAAAACAAAAATCCAATTCTCCCTTGGTGTCGTCATTGTCATCAGCACTGTCATATGAGTGAGGAAGCTAAGCCTTTGTGAGGCTCACTTACTCAGGGTCATACAGTGTGTTTATGTGTTTGAGCACATGCATATGTAAACAATTAAAACTGCAGAGTGATCCCACTGTCTTGCACACCAAACTTATGTATTCAACCATTTATTCCTACAGTAACCCTATGAGGTAGGAAGTATTATCATTTTTATAAAGAAATTGAAGGACAGAATTGGGCAAGTAGCTCAAGGTTACTCAGTAATTCCTTGGCAGAACCTGCATGTAAACTCAGAAAGTTTACTGTAGTCAATGCAGAAATCTTAGAAACACAATACTGAAGAAAAAGGTTGCACAAAATAAAATAGGGTATTTTTTTAGTTTAGAAACAAAACTAAATGACATGTTGTTTGAGGACAAAACTAAATGACATGTTGTTTGAGGACAAAGACATGTATAGTAAAAAGCAATCAATAAGACTATTATAAAACCAAATTTGGGCTAGGGTCTCAGGATGCTGGGAGAAGGTAAAGGGCTTGAAAAGGGCCTTTGGGAACCTCATTGGTCTGGGTTTTATTCTGGTTCTTAAGTTGCATAGTAGGTCAATGGTGTTCATTTTATTACTGTGGTCCATAATCCATAGATAGATAGATAGATGATTGATAGATAGATCTCACAATTTATGTCATATAATATCAAATACCTTACAATAAAAATTTTTAGATATCAATCAGTAAGCTATCCAAACTCCTTGACTTATCCTGAATTTATGAGACAAGTATGTCGGAAAAATAATTCTTCTCTTTCTCTAGAGTAAATCTTATGAGGGATGGAAAAGTCTTGGCATGAACACCACCACTTCCTCCTGTAGTGGACAATGGTCATCAGCATGGCAAGCTTCCTCCCCATACCTGGCCAGTGTTTCACAGAGGACTCTAAGAATTCATGTCTGATCATGAACAATTTGATGAAGGTGGCACCCCCATCACCATGTGCTAAGGGATCCCTAGAGTTCTTGCAACTAGAAAACTCTGGGAAATTGTTTGCAGTGATGTCTCTTTTCAAACACACAGGTACCTGTTAAGTTTGAAACATCAGTGGGACTCAGTTGTAACCAATGGCGGGCATCAGAGTCAGCCACAACATCTGTGGGAGTGTTGAGTTCTGGGTCCTCCTCACAGGTTTGCCATGGGCTCATGGAGAGCTCAGCCTCATTATTACAACCCAAAGCTGGGTCACTGCTGGTACTCTCACCTGCACAAACCAAGAACAAAATTTTGAGACAATAACTAGCTGGAGATCATAATGTTCAAAATTACCTATCTTCAAGACACTAAACATCTGGCACAGCAGGAATTGCTCAGGAGCCTGGGAAGAACTGGCTGGGATTCCAGGAGTATCCCTGTGGACTACTGCTCAACAAAATAAATCTTCCAAATACAAGGCATTAATATGAGCTCCACTATATACCACTCAAGTGGCATTTTGTTCAAAGCATCTTCACTTAGTTATCCCATATACCTCAAAGATTATACCAAGTCCTAAAGTTTTCTACTTATTAACCTACAAAATGAGGATGGATTGAGGAAGATGGTGATAATTAATTGATTCCACCATGGTACAAGTTTATTCTGCTGCTGCAAGAGTCAAAAGATCAGGCTTGAAAGTATCAAGCCTGATTTTTTTAGACTTAAACCCAGGGAGAATCATCAAGTGTCATCTGGAGATGAGGTGTTTCACTACAACAGATTTTCCACAATAGAAATTCTTTCCTTTAAACAGAAGATGTCTTAATTTGTCATAATATAATTATGCTGAGCTATTAGGATTTACTTACACTGACAAAAAAACAAACCTAGACAATTCTGCTGCGTTAAGTCTCCTGCCATAATGATTTTATGTGTCTGCTGTTTCTGTCTGCTCACCATTCCAGCTGCTCTTGGTATCTACTGCTGATAGTCCTCCAGTCTTGGTGTATCTAATCTGCTGTCCTCTATTCATTTGTAAAGAAATGAAAGTTGTCTCAGTAACCAGATTACCAATCTGTTTAAACTTCATCTTCCACAGAATTCAAAGCCAACAGAGGATAGGTGGACCATGAGAAGAGCTCCTCTGCATCTCATCAATGGCTACCCTGGATGTGCAGGAGTTGCTTACCATGCTACCCGGAGAAGGAGGTAGCCTGGCATCTGACTTCAGGAAAGCAAACCTGTCTCAGGATTCCAAATTTTATTTTAAAATACTTATGTCATTGACTTCAATGTACTTCTGAAACTCGGTGTCTCTAGCCTATGGGAAGTTAACCTTCTGGAGAAGACAATTTTTCCTTCTATGTCAGTTTGTTTGCTTAAGCCCTCAGCCCTTTGCCTCTCACCTGATGAGAAGCCCGGGGAAAGACAGATAGGTCTCTCAGATATAAGAACTGTTTTATTCACTGATTAACGTTGTAGCAATCCCTGGGTTCCAGGAAGGAAAATATTCTATTTCACAACCACATCTTTCCATTTCATAAGATAATCATGCAAGTTAGAAAGTAAAAAGAAAACAAAATACAGTAACTATGAAGTTATATATACACAGACCATATTTCCTAGAACTTACTCTTCTGTCTCTCCCTCCATTTTCCTTGTGTCTGGTGCAAATCATCCTTCAAATCCAGCTCAGCAGGGCTGCTGCTTCTCCGAACTAAGATCTTCAGACAAAAAGAAATACTGTTTATTACAAGAAAGTTAAAATTTTTATAACACTGTTAAGTTGCTACTCCACATTTTTTTTTGGTGGTACTGGGGTTTTGAACGTAGTGCCTTGTACTAGCTAGGCAGGTACTCTACTACTTGAACAAAGCCGCCAGCCCTAGTCCACATTTTTAAAGAAAAAGAAACAATAAAAATAGTAACAAAACATTGAATAATATTTTCCATTTGAAGGATGTGTTCAGAAATTATTATAATTGAATTACATATTAGTCAAGATCTGAAACTTTAATTTATATTCTCTACTTTGTCAACTGATATCCAATTAAATGGATCTACTAAGAAGGGATGTCAAATTATATGGAAGTAATTTATTTTAAAGTTCTGTTTGTTCCATAGTCAAGAACATATATACAGTGAACACTTTTCTCCAGAAGGCCTAAGTTCCCCATGAATGGTGCATGTGTAGACAGGGAAAGTATAAACTCCACCCAAACTTCAAAAGGTCCATCAGTATCTTCCTACGTAAATGTGCTGCAGATGTTCCTGAGCACTGGTGAACTCTGGACCTTATGTTGAATACACACAATTAAACAATCAGGAGGTTCTACCACTTGGAGGGACAAAACATACACAAATTACACAAAATAATTACAACGTATATAAGCAAAAAATGCAAATAAACTCTCTCTGAAAGGCATATAAATAAAGTTTTACCTTAATCAGCTGACAGTTACAGGAGAGCTGTTCAAGAAGGCAATAGACATGAAGTGGTAGAGGGAAGGCAGAAGGGGACTCAAGGCAGGAAGCACGGAGTGGTAATCAGCAAGTTCTATGTGCAGGAAAAGAAGCTGATTATAGCAGGTCATGCAGGACAGCCAGGTGAAGAAGGAAAAAGGTAAGAAGAAATACAGATTTCTAAAAGAGGCAGCTGTTATGGAGCCTTCAACATAAGGTTTGGGACTTCTGACCTAATATTGACGAAATGAGAAACCATATGTTCCAGACAACAAATAGCTAGTTGTGGTTAAAATTATAATGAGAAAGATAAGTCTGGTTAGTAGTTACCTGTGTGAAAGATTACAGAGAAGAAGAAAATTGCTATGTAACTGTTATGGTGATTGAGGAATGGGGATAAAGTTTCTGATGGTGGAAAAGAAGAAAACAGAAATATTGCAGAATGGGAGGGTAGAGCTTATAATCGGGTGTATATGGGCATGGAAGAATATCAAATCACAAAAGAGTATAAATCTAGGGACAATGAGAATGATAGTGACAAGTGGGAGAAAGAAAGGAACAAACCTGACAAAGTTTCTGACATTAAAATGTTTAATCTTTAAACTGAATATTCTGTAAGTGGGAAACAAAAATCCAGGAATGGTAAGATAGAGAATAAAGCAAAGAATGAAGATATAAATTTAAGGTCCTCTACTGTAGAGTATATTAAAAATAAAAGCAAACTAGATTCAATAAGCCAATTAAAGCGATAAACGTCCCTTATAAATGAATATCCCTTTTTAAACAAACAAATGAAAACGAGGGGACCAAGTATGTAATTAAAACTCAAAACAGTCACTAAGCTAAAAAAGAACAGGCCATGAATAAAACAGTTAGAAGATTAACAGTATATGAAAAACCTATCACACAGCCTTAAAGAAAAATCATACATATCTCATGTACTAGACAGAAATAAACCCAGGATATTTTCTTAATTCCAAAGCAAGCTCTTTTGCTTCTGACTGTGTGAGAGACAAAACAACCTCCAACTATAGATCTAGATTCTCTATAAAAACTTTGGTTGCAATTTGGGCTCACAGGAAGTAAATCTCCATGAGATCAAACACTCCCCCCTCAAAAGTGAACAGAAACCAGGGAAGTCTAATGGGGCTATCATAAGGGCAAATCTAATATCCACTGCCAGTGGCAAGAGGACTGAGATCCAGGTTAAAGTAGCAACCTATGACTCCTGGAATAAAGAGTCAAATGAGTGAGATTCCTGGTGAACCATTATCATCTTAGACATCCAGGCTTTCCACAGATTAAGACCAGCCAGCTAGGAAGTGACCAAGACTACCAATCACCAAAGGAAATTAATCACCAGGCATAAGGGTCTCAGAAACAACGAACATCAGATTTAGATCCCTGAAGGGTTTCAGCTAATCTGATAAAGAATTTAGGATCACAATTTGTAAACATTTTAAAGAAATAAAAGATGAGAATCATAAAAACAGGCAAGCAATAAAATTATTAGAAATTACAAGATATACTTGAAAAGAATAAATTTCAACATTAAAACAAAAAGTATGCTATCAAGCTAAAAATAAAAACTCAATGGAGGCATTACTTAGTAGACTTATTAAGAGAGTCTTATTAAACTGAGAAACAGAGTTGATAAAACAATCTAGAATGCACCCAAGGGTCAAGGAGAATGAGTAATATGAAAGGAAGCTTAAGAGACATGGAAGACGGAATGAGAAAGTCTCTTATTTTTATCCAGAACTCCAGAAGAAAAAAAAAGTGGCAATAGTTGAAAAAAACTGTTACCAAGAATTATCCAAAGTGTCAGAAGACAAGCATCCATAGATGCATGGAACAAAGCATATTCCCAAAGGGACAAATGTATAAACCAAAAGAAACCTGTATCTAAATATACTATAATAAAACTGAAGGATAAGGAAAAAGAAACAATGACTAGATAGGATGGACAGAAAACACCTCAATATAAAAAATGAAAGACAAGGAGTGAAAACATGAGCTTCCTCAGAAATGGAGAAGAAAGAACTGGGAACTACAGTAATTAAGACACCAACTGTGGTACGGTCAGATGCCATGGCTATGCCTATAGTTCCAGCTACTTGGGAGGCAGAGATAGGAGAACTGCAGTTCAAGGCCAGCCTGGACAAAAAGTTATCTATCTCAAAGAAAAAGCCAGGCATGGTGGTACAGGCCTGCCTCCAAGCTATGTGGAAGGCAGAGGCAGGAGGATCATGGTAGGTAGCCAGCCCTGAGCAAAAGTGAGACTCTATTTGAAAAATAACTAAAAGTAAAAAAAAGGCCAGGGCCTGACTCAAGTGGCAAGTATCTGTCTACCAAGCATGAGGCCCTGAGTTCAAACCCCAGTACCACCAAGAAAAGAAAAAAATGCTGTGATACTGTCCAGAAATAAAATACACACTGAATCAAGATAAGAAGCACCAAAATGAAGGTTTATGTACATCCAGGAACTAGCATATATGAGAGATAGGCAGCATTTCAGATCAATAAAGGAAAAATGTGCTCAATAAATGAAATATGGGATAAACAGTTACCTACGAGGGAGAAAATGAAATTGTATTCCTGTATTTCTTCATAAACAAGATTCAATTCCAGGTAGATGAAAGACACAAATGTTCAGAGCAAAACTGAAACATTTATAGAATAAGTATAATATCTTAATCACTGTGTAGCTGAGATTTTTAAAAATTCCATAAAACCCTTAACCATAAATATGTTAATAGATAATATCAAAATGAAGGACTTCTGTTCACCAAAAGATATTATAGAGTGAAAATAGTCACTCATTAAAGAAAATATTTGTTACAAACATAACCAAAATAGAATCAGTTCAGACTATACAAAGAATTAGTAGAATTAAAAGAGAAAAAGACAAATCAATAGGTAAATAACAAAAAGGCATCCATAGGCATTGCACAAATGAAACATAAATAGCCAATCTGGAAAGATTATAAACCTTATTAGCAATCTGGGAGATGCAAATATTTTTACCCCCTTGATCCACAAAAATTTAAAAATCTGACTGTAAAAAGTGTTGGCAAATATGTGATATGGATGAATAGGAACTCTACACATTGCTGGCAGAAATGTAAGTGGTATAACGGTCTTGGAAAATAGGTATTATCTTGTAAAGAAGAATATTATTTTATTGTGAAAATTCATTAATTACATTCCTAGACCGTCATCATAGAGAAAACTTTAAACATATAGGTCTTGAGATAAGTGCACAAATGTACATAGCAGAGATTTTCATAAAAACAAAAGTTGAAAACAAACTAAATGCCCATCAGCTAAAGAATGGAAAAATAAATGGTAGTATAGTCACAGTGGCATACATTATAGAAAAGGATGAATTACTGCTACATGACACAATTGTAGACAAATCTTAGAAATACCTAACTGAACAAACCAATAATACTACTATTTAATGCCTTTTATAAAAGTTCAAAAATAAGGAAAAGCTAAAGAACATATTGTTTTGGAGAAACACTCATAACAAAACTATAGAGCAAAACAAGGGGCTGATACACATACAGCCAAGGTCATGCTATATTCTGAGGGGAGGCAGCCAGAGGAGAGGACAAGAAAGGAACTTAGAGACCAAAACAACAATAAAACAATGGAATTCTGGTTCTTAAGCTGGTTAATGGGTTTGTGGTTATTTACTTCATTATTGAAGAACAGAAAAAAATATATATATGTACGCTGGTATATGTCCTTTGTAAACACAAACAAGAATTTAACATTGCTCATCATTCAAACAAGGAGGAATATGAATAGGCCTTCCCTTTTTATTTTGTAATTATCTAAGATATTTAAGGTTCTATATATATATTCTATATTTTAAAAAAATACATAGGGATTACCTGCATGAGTAAGTTACAGGCTTTGTTTTAATTCCCTTCTTTATACTTTATATTTGTTTAAGTAAATGCTTTTTTAAATAAAAGAAATCATAACAAATCTGTGTGCACATTCACTTATTTATTAACTTATGTTAGGTAAGGCTACTACCTACAATGCCAGGAATAAGAAACCTGAAATGCTACTTTTACAGGCAAGTATAGTTGCTTAAAACTATACAATGCCACATATAGACCAGGCAATAAGTTCCATTTTATGTTGATTTTTTTCCCCTTATTTTTGTAGTATGACAATAATTTTACATGGAAAGCAAGCAAGACTTAAATGACTTTAAGGTCAGTTGAACCTATAATACAACTAAATGGAAAAAAATAAGTATCACTGCCACCAAAAAGTTCATTTATTGTACAATAATTTATACATTTATTTTTAATGTCAAACTGATATTTTTTTTAAAGCTTACTGTTATTCCTTCATGTTCTCTCTTCATATATCCTTTATTCTCTTGAGTAGGTCTGGGTTCTGAAGAACTCAACTTCTGTGCATTTTCTACCTTTTGACCTTGAGGTTTGGGGGAAAAATTGAGAAAAGAATGTTTCAGAAGGTAAGACAGGAGAACAATTTTTATATTTAGTAACCATTAAATACAGATAACCTAAAATATGTAATAGAAGGAGTTATGGGTCTGAAAAACTGAGAGACTATGGGTCCAGTTCACTTACCAACCTGATCTCTGGCCCACAAAGGGTTTGGACTAGAGCAGGCTGAATATTGTGCATATGACCAATAGTCCACTTAGCACATTATGTTAGCTCAGAAAAATGTCACAAGATACTCCCTGGTGACAGTATCTCATAGAAAAGCTGGGTTGGCTGCTGAACTGCCAGTAAGAAGAGAACAGTAAGGTGCCTCTATGTTACTTAAAAATAAAGACTGACAAGAGAAAGCAGAACTAGTTTTAGTATTAAAAAAAGAGTATTACTTAAAGCCTACAAACATTAAACAAGGTGATTTTATGAATAATATAGTCAATAAATCTGAAAAAATGTATAAGGGGGATTGAACAAATTTCTAGAAAAACATAATTTACCAAAACAAGGAAAATCTTGAAGTATAATTCTTAACTTGTTTTTATTTTTGATGTTTTAAAAATTGTGTATATTTATCATGTATAACATGGTGTTTTAAAGTATGCATACATTGTGAGATAGCTAAATGGACCTAGTTAACATATGCACTACCTTCTATATTCATTTTTTTGTGATGACAGTATTTAAAAATCTCTTTTATTAGCAATTTTCAAGAATATAACACATTGTTATTAGTTATACTACCATGTTGCACAATAAGATCTCTTGAATTTATTCTTCCTCTCTTAAGTGAAGCTTTGTTAAAACTGGAATAATATTTAAAAGCTCTGTAAGAATACTCCATGCAACTTGCCAATAGGTATCTTTCCTCCTTGTGGGTGGGTATCAAACTCAGGGTGTCATGCATACCACGTAAGCGTTCTACCCCTGAGTTACACCCACAGGCTTAATGATAATAATCCTATATTATTATTATACAATATGCAAAATACAAAACCTTTCAAAGACTAGAAAATCTTTTAGATAATACATTTTCTTAGACTATTTTTTACTGTATTTTCTTATTTCAATAGGATTTCTGCAAAAGAAAACATCCCGACTTATCTGATATAACTAGCATGATGTTATATTAAGAGATAACATTGATAAATAAGGTAGGTTTGTTTCTTAACTCATGACAGCACATTTATTGATATTAGACACACTGTAAATATGGTTTTCTGAGATAAAAAACACTATTCACTGTTGGAGGGTTGAATATGCCTCTTTGCTTTGCTTTCTACACCCTATTTTTGCTAAAAGTTGCTAGAAAAACTGTATAGATAAATGTTATTAGAAATTACTATTTTCAGCCAGAAGTGATACAGACCTATAATCCCAGTAACTCAAGAGTTTGAGAGCAGCCCGGGCTATTTCGTGAGAAAACAAACAAGCAAACAAACAAAAAAAGTTTTTTTCAACCTGAGTACTAAGCTGCTAATAAACTTATTTACAAGTTTATTCAGCTTTCCATTCTAATTTTCAACTTCTACAACTCTTCTCACTGCCTGTTCCTCACTTCCCCTCATGCTACATCTCTAGCTTCTACCTGATTTACTGCTCTTTCTAACTTTTTCTAGGAACATCCTCTGCAGCCTTCTATTCCAGACATTCTGGACTCCTTTCTAGTCCTCAAGCCAAACTTGAAAAGAGTGTGTGTGTGTGTGTGTGTGT